TTATTAGTGGTGGTAGTAGTAGTAAGGAATTGACTTACAGGAACTTGGGTGTGCAATTTTCCTGATGCCTATTTTTCTCTAAAAAGTAAACTTTTAATCTTTTCTCTAGAAATTAAACTTTTAATCTTTGCTTTGGGTAATTGGCCCACAAACATGCACTGAACAGCTATCTGGGTATTGTGCTAAATTCTAGATCTATAATTTTAAATTTGATCTACTCCATTTACATAAGTACAATCTTAACAGATAACTACTGATAACAGATAACACTTAGGTAGCATTTACATGTGCCAGATACTGTTCTAAGTGTTTCATATGCTGCTTTTTTTACTCCTAACAATGTTCTGTAGGAGAAATTGGATCATTTTATCTATTTAAGAGATGAGGACAGTGAGACACAGAAAGATTAGATAATTGTCCCCAAATCATACAGCTAGTAATTAGCAGTGCTGGGCTATGAAAGAGAGTTTGTACTTTTAGAGTTTTTGTTTGTTGCATTTTTTTGGTTTATTTTTTGTGGGTTTTTTTTAGAAGACTGACATATGGTTTAAGGAACAGTGTAGAGCTTAAAATATGTGAAAGAATAATGCATAAGATTTGATCTGACTTGATCCTCCTTGCTGCCCTATCAAGAAGCCAGAAAAATGCAGAATAAATAACGCCCAATGTAAAAAAACAAACAAAAAAACCAAAACAACCCACATTTCATTGGTTTATTTTCCTGCATTTCTAATAATGGTCAGCTCAGCTTCTTTCCCCCCATATCTGCAAAGTAGAGGCTTTTCTTTCAAGGACTTCTGGGTACAGTTGAATCACCAACCCTTTATCTTCTACCATCTTTGTAAATACCATATATTTCTAATTAGCTATTCAGCCTTTTAGTTAGTTCATTACCAAAATACATGCTTTCATTGGATGCACAATCAGCCATGTTGTCTAGTGGGTAAAGAGTTGTGCTACCGATTCAAAAATGGGCACTTTGAATCCACCAACTGCTCCACAGAAGAAAGATGGGCAGTCTCCTCCCATGTGATTTACATCCTCTGAAAACTCACTGGAGGGTCAGCTATGGGTCAGTTTCTACTTGGTGTTAGTGAGAGCAAGAGAGAGAGAAAGAATGTGGGGTGCAGAATAGGCAAGGAAACTCTGGTGACCTAGTCCATAAAGCATAGCACTGCTGGTAAAATCTTGCTGAAGATTATTTTTAAAATGCTGGAACTGCATGGGGATGGGGAACTGCTTGAAATTCAAGCTGGATTCAGAAGAGGCTGTAGAACTAGGGATATAATTACTGATATCAAACGGATCTTGACTCAAAGCAGAGAATACCAGGAAAAAAACCTATTTACTTGTATTTTATTGATTATGCAAAGACATTTGACTGTGTGGATCATGACAAATTATAAATAACGATAAGAAGAATGTGTATCCCAAAACACATAATTGTGTTCCTGTAAAGCCCATACATAGACCAAGAAGCTGTTGTCTGAACAGCATGATTTAAAATCAAGAAAGGTGTGTGTCAAGTTGTATCCTTTCTCCATACATATTCAATCTGTAGACAGCTCTGGTGGCTGTGGGAAAGGAGCTGTGCTGCCAACCTGAAGGCACATGGTTCTAGTCCACCAGCTGCTCTAAAGGAGAAAGATGGACAATCTCCTCTCGTGTTGTTAGATGCCATCAGTCAAGTATGAGTCATAGTGACTTCCTTTCAATCTCCTTGAAAAATTAATTTGGTCTATGTATTGAGATTGTGTTGCATATGTAGATTGCTTTTGGTAGGACTGTCATTTTCACAATATTGGGCCTTCTTATCCATGAATAGGGCACCTTTCCCCCCATCTATTTAGGTCTTTAATTGTGTCTTTAAGAAATGTTCTGTAGTTTTCCTTGTATAGGTCTTTAGTGTCTCTAGTTAGGTTCACTCCCAAGTATCTCAGTTTGTGGTTGGCTATTATAAATGGTTCAGACATGCTATGGACAATATTTTGAATGACCCAGAAAGCATCAAAAGAAGATGAGGGAATACACAGAATCACTATACTAGAAAAAATTGATTGACACTGAAAATTTTCAGGAAGTATCATACGAACAAGCGTATGGTAATGAAGGAGGAAGTAGAAGCTGCACTGAAGGCATTGGCAAAAAATAAGACCCCAGAAATCGATGGGATACCAATTGACTTATTTCAGTTAACAGATGCAGCCTTGGATATGCTCACCAGTCTATGCCAGGAAATTTGGAGGACAGCTGTCTGGATAACAGATTAGAAGAAGTCCATATTTGTTCCCATTCTCAAGAAAGGTGATCCAAATAAATGTGGAAACTATTGAACAATATCATTAGTATCATATGCAGGTAAAATATTGCTGAAGATCATTTTTAAGATGGCTCGAACAGTACATATAGTTAGGGAACTGCCAAAAGTTCAAGCAGGATTTAGGAGAGGCCATGGCACCAGGGCTATCATTGTTGATGTCAGATGGATCCTAGCTGAAAGTAAGGAATACCAAAAGAATGTGTATATATGCTTGACCGATTATGCAAAGGCATTTAACTTTGTGGATCATAAAAAGTTGTGGCTGACATTGAGAAAAATGGGAATCCCAGAACACTTAATTTGCTCATGCTGAACCTATACCTGGACTAGAATGGTGTTGTGCCAACAGAGCAGGGGAACACTGCATAGTTTAAAATTGAGAAGGGAGTGTGTCAGGATTGTATTCTCTCTCCATACCTATTCAGTCTATATGCTGAGCAAATTATTTGAGAAGCTGGACTCCATGAAGTGGAGTGTGGCATCAGAATTGAAGGAAGATTCATCAGCACCCTGCGTTATGCAGATGACACAATCTTGTTTGCTGTAAATGAGAAGGACTTGGAGTAATTGTTGTAGAAGATCAAGGAATGCAGCCTTCAGTATGGATTGCATCTCAATATCAAGAAAACAAAGATTTTTTTTTTAATGAGTGAAATATCTCCGTCACAAAAAGACAAATACAGCATAATTCCACTGCTATAAAAGAGGACTGACATAGGGGTTGGGAGGGAGACTGAGAAAGATGGGATAAATAATGTATACTGCATTGAAACAGGTGAGGGAGAGAACTGTTTAAAAGGGATACATGATTAGGTATTACTGTCATGACAGGAGTCCAGAACGAAGGGAGCATAGTGGAGTGGACCTGGGGGGAGGGTTTGAATAACAATGAAATAATTTTTCTTTTACTTCTCAAAGAGAAAAGCTAATTGGGGAGGAGAGGTGGGCATGGAGAAAAGTGCAACAATGAGTGAATAGAAAGCCAAAGTCTCTATAAATTTTCATTAAAATAAATTAATTTAAAAAAAAAAACAACAAAGATTTTTACCGCTGTACCAATAGGCAGTGTCATGATGGATGACGAAGAGATTGAAACTGTCAACAGCTTTATTTTGCTTGGATCCTCAATTAACACCTTTGGTACCAGCAATCAGGAAATAAGGAGATTCATTGCACTGGGAAAATCTGCTGTTAGGAACCTATCCAAATTAGTGAGCAGTAATATGTCAGTTTGAAGACTACGGTGCTTCTGATTCAGGCCATGATATTTCTGATTACTTGCTATGCATCTGAGAGCTGGACAATGAATAAGGATTACAGAAAAAGAACTGATGCCTTTGAGTTGTGGTATTGGAAAGGAGCACTGAACATCCCATGGATGCCCAAGAGAACAGATACATCTTGGAGAGGGTGCAGCCAGCGTGTTCTTTGGAGGAAGGAATGATGCAACTTTGCCTCATATCTTTGGCATGTTGCTAGGAGGAGCTATTCCTTGGAGAAGGACATAATGCTGGGAAGGGTGGAAGTTCATCGAAGTAGAGGAAGACCCTCAACTAGGTGGATTGACATGGTGACTGTTTCAGGAAGTGTGAGGATGGTGCAGGATAGAACAGGGTTCAGATCTTTTGTTCATAGGGTCGCTATGAGTTGTATTTTGCTCGATGGCACCTAACAACAATAATTGTAAAAGGTATGGCTTTCTTGGTTCCCTTTTCTGAGTTCTCTGTTGTTGCTGTTGTTGTTGATTGTTGATGAGTCAAGCACAACTCATAGCGACCCTATGAACAAAAGGCCTGAAGCTTTTATATAATTATCATTATTTATCAAAGTTCATAGAGTTTCCAGAGGCATGTTGTTTAGAAAGTGGATGCCACTCCTGCTTCTCTTTGTTACTGTAGAGGAATCTCACTGATTTTTGGATATTGATCCTGCCACTCTACTAAGCTGGTCTACTAGCTCTAACAGTTTTTGTTGTTGTTGTTGAGTCCTTGGGGTTTTCTCTGTACACTGTCATATCACCTGCATATAGCAATAGTTTAACCATCTCTTTGCTAATCTGGATGGCTTATATTTCCTTCTCTTGTTGTATTGCCCTAGTGAGCACTTCGAATACAATACTGACTAGAAGTGGTGACAGTGGGCATTCTTGTCTGGTCCCTATTCACAAGGAAAATGCTTTAAAGGCTTTATCCATTTAGAATGATATTGGCTCTTGGTTTTTGCATATATACTTTTCATTACATTGAGGAAATTCCATTCTATTCCAAATTGGCTAAGTGTCTTTACCAAGAAGAGGTGTTGGATTTTATCAAATGCATTTTCTGCATCAATTGCTAAGATCATATAGTTGTTGTTGTTATTTACTTTGTTAATACAGTGAATTATGCTGATTGTTTTTCTTATGTTGAATCATCCTTACATACCTGTTATGAAGCCACTTCATCATGATTAGTTATTGTTATGATGTGCTTTTGGA